CGTTTCAGTGGCCGGTCGGCACGTGAAAAGAAACACCGTTTCACTGTTTTTATTCCAATTTAACACCAGAAATCCGTAAAACATCTGGTAAAAACGGCGAAACAGTTTATTTTCACGGGGCGACCGGCCATTAGGATGCCGGTGGGACCGTTTTTCACCGTTTTTTCTGACAGTGCACTGTGATGAATTTGAGGACCTTTTTCAGTACTTTTTGTAGTTGGGATATTGCCGTTTTAGATAAGGCGTGTAGAGTTATTAGGAGGTCAATGAGAGACGATCTTCCATAGGAATGTGAGGCACAAGGTACGCTTCATGTTGGGTAAGAGGTCTCTCATTTGGGACCTAAAACCGTGTGAAGTGCAATCCTCGGACACTTCCTTTCTTTGTGCATAGATTGGGAGGATTTTATGCTTCGTTCTGTTTGTCCTGATGAACCATTTATTTTTGAATGGGCGATTTTTTTTATTTATATATTGAATGGGATTTTGTGCCTGTTTCGTTGTGTATTTGGGTAGGCATCATTCGGCTGTTATCTGTGTAATGTCGTCTGCAAATTCTATAAACTCCGTGTTGGGGAGTGCAGTTGGATGTCGTGGGTGTAAAAGCTGTACAGAGTGGGTGAAAGACAAGCCCTGAGTGTATAAGGGCACCTGAGTGTAGCTGTGGAGGGGGACTTATGTGCTTACCTATATAGTGATGGATGCTGTTATGTTGGTGAGGCAGCCTGCTGGTGTTTTTGTAAGTCACGGGTGGAGTTTAATTAATATTGTTAGAGTCCGGTGTGCCAAATCTTGTTGAAGGCCGTGGTCACATCCCGGAGTACTATATCAGTAATGTGTCTCCGTGTGTAAGGTGTATGACGAGTGTTTTGTGGAATATGTGGTTAATGCTGTGTGGACTCTGGGTGTTTCCTAAATCCGTGTTGTCTGGTATTGTGGATTATGAGGTATTTGTATAATCTGTCGTTTAGCATTTCATCTGTGAACTTCTTGAACATATCTAATAGCGAGATTGGCTTGTAGTTTTGAACTTGGTTTTGTGAGGTATTAGGTTTAGGGAGAAAAATCATTATGACGTGTTTGAGCGAGCCTGGAAAATAGCCGGCAGTTTTGACATGTTGTATAATGCATATACAGAGCAGCTTGTGTATCATGTTTTTGGGGAGATGTTTGAGCTGGAGGGTTGTGATACCAGAGTGGCCCGGTGCTTTCTTTTTGAATGTTTTCATAGTTTCTTAGTATTGGTCTTGGTAATCTTGGTACTTGTTTGGGACATAGCAGTCCCAGGCCACGATGGATCGCCGCCTCTGATAATCGTTCATCGGCCCTCATTTGGGCCACCTGATGCACGATGCTGTTGCTTGCTTCTCGCCGCTGGTAGTGTTGCAGGAGAGGTCGATCTGGGATTGTGCCCAGGAAAACGTCCAGTTGTCTCTTGAAGGTCTCCAGGGTGAACTCCCCCTCTCTTAGATCCTTTGGTAGGACGTTGAACAGCCTTGGCCCTGCCACGGAAAGTGATCCTTCCCGCAGGGATTGAAATCCGAGTGCTGATCTGTTACGTAATGGGGGATCTTGCACGGTCTCCCCCTTCTCTCGTTGTGATATGTCTCAATCCTGAAGGTCTTGCTCTCGAAGTTTGGCACCATTCCGGTTATCATTTTCCATGTGTACAGAATGACATACCTCTCCCGTCTTCTATGTAGTGAGTACAGACCCAGGCGCCTCAACCTCTCCCAGTAGTTCAACTCTTCCATCCCACTAATCCAGGAAGTGAAGGTTCGCTGGACACCCTCCAGTTGCCGCACTGCGCCGAGTGTGAACGGGGTCCAGAGCTGGCAGCAGTATTCGAGAATTGGTATTACAAGGGCTCTAAAGAGTGTGATCATCGGTTCCGCTTCTCTCGTTCTGAACGTCCGCCAGATCCACCCCATCTGTCGCCTACCTCTTGCGGTTATTGCCGTTACGTGATCACCAAAATTGACCTGAGTATTCATCAACACTCCTAGATCACGAACAAGTTGCTTCTCTTCGATTTACCAGTTGTCAGGTGCTAGGTAGCGGTGCTCCATACCAGCTCTTCCGCTACCTCTGTGTCTCAGAACCTCAAACTTGGTCCCGTAGAACTGTATGTTGTTCACTTGGGCCCAGTCATATACTGCAGAGAAGTCTTCTTGCAACCTCTCGCAGTCCCTCCTGTCCGTTATGGTCATTAGTAGCCTGGTGTCGTCCGCGAATGACGATGCAGTGGCGTGGTTCACAGCCACATCTATGTCGGCGATGTGAATCAGGAAGAGGATTGGGCCGAGTACCGTTCCCTGTGGTACTCCACTCTTCACCCTAGCCTCGCTCGATCTCGAGCCTCCTACAACGACAGCTTGTAGTCTTTCTGTTAGGAAGCTGTGGATCCATGCCAGCAATTCGCCTCCGACTCCCAGCAGTCTTAATTTTCTGAAGAGCACTCCATGGTCAACTTGTCAAACACTTTCACGAAGTCCAAGTACACCACGGTCACCCCGGCCCCCTCCTCCAGCATGGCCAGGTTTTGTTGGTGATGCTCCAGTAACTGAGACAAACAGGAATGATTTCGTCTAAAACCGTGTTGCCTTCTGTTGAAAAGGTCAGCGTCTTCCATGTACTTCGCCAAACTTCTGGCAACAACCTTCTCAAATACTTTGATTACGTGTGATGTTAATGTAACCGGCCTGTAATTTTGGGGTTTGTCTCTTGAACCCTTTGTAGATAGGGGTAATTAGCCCTAATTTTAGGTCACTTGGAACATTTCCTTCTCTCAATGATGTTTTCCAGAGCAAAGTCAGAGGGACCTTTAGTGCACCGACACATTTTTTCGGTAATACTATAGGGACCCCATCTGGCCCGGGAGCCGAGTACGTAGATAATTCTTGGATACTCCTCTGTAGATCCGGCGTTTCAAACTCAATGTTCATCAGCTCCCGCTCCCCTGGAAGTTCTTGAATGACTCCAATTTCGTTCTCCTATCCTGAGTATCGGGGTTCGCTGAATACTTTTTCGAATTGAGCTCCCAGAAGTTTGCATATGGCCTGGTCATCTCCAAAAAGGACATCGTTATTTTTCAGAGGCCCCACTGAGGCTCTGATTTTGGCCTTTGACAGGGCATATTTAAAGAAATATTTGGGATTCTCTCGAATGGCAGACACCGCTTGCGCCTCTGCAATTTGTTGCTCGGCCTCGTGTGAGTCCTGCAACTGTCGTTCAGTTTCGTTAATTTTAACCTTTCGATGTTCCAGCATCCGCCTCTCTATGTTACTGGAGGCGGCCGTTATCCGTTATCTGGTTGTTCAAGCTCGCTCGTTTTCTCATGAGGATCCGTCTGTCCTTCGTAATTATGCGGCGTTTGGGGGGTCGTTTTTCCCGGCGTGCGACGCACGCATATCTGCAGTAATACTTCGCACAGTTGGTTGTACATTGATTCGGCATTTAATTCCAAGAACTCAGATCTCCAGTCAATTTTAAGGAGTTCATCCCAATGGCCTCCCAGTCTGTTCTTCGATGATGAAAATTTAGCCCAGCAAGCCCCTCTCGAGGTATAGGTCTTGGCTGGGTTACCCTCTCAATTGTTGTCTTGACCACCACTAGTCGATGGTCAGTTAGTGTAGTCTCCTCAACACGAATATCAGCAACCAGTTCTTCATTGCTGGTGAAGAATAGATCCAGGATACTATGTTCTCTTGTTGGCACCAAAACCTGTTGGCTTAGCAAGTGCTCCCTAGCGAATCGAAGTAGTTGTGTTGCCTGGTTTCTGATTTGATTTCTGCGCCGTTCTACACAGTCCAAGTTTGGCCATCGTATGTGTGGTAGTTTAAAATCTCCCGCAACCACAATATTTGGGAAAGGTTCACCCAAGTTGGCCACCTCTGTTTCTATTCTATCGAGAGTTTCATTGAATTTTTCAGGCGGGCAGTCAGGCGGTCGGTATACGATAACTATGCACAGATGGAGATGGGGAATGTATAGTATAAAATGTTTCACATATCCATTGGAACCTAAATGCAGGGAAACTGTATTTGCCGCGAGAAAGTTTCTGAGGTAGACTATAGCGCCTCCTTTTCTTCTCCCTTCTTTTCGATCTACTCGGTAATGTTGAAAGCCTTTCATCTCGATATCTCCATCTTGGATATCTTCTCTTAGGTGTGACTCGGTTAAGGCAAGCATGATTATTCCTTCTGTCTCAGCAATTTCTTTAAGTACGCCGATCTTGAGGCGTTTTCTTCTTGGGAAGAGTGATCCTCTATGTTAGCTATCATGATGCTAGACTCTTCCCTTCCTTGCGTCCTTAGTTGCTATAACACTGCTCTGCCAGAGGTCTCTGGCTCCGCAGCTGTTGCATTTGTTGCTGTGATTTCAGCTGTTGTTCGTGCAATGTCAACAGCTGCTGCATTTGTTGTTGAATCTGATCTACTTGCCTCTGTAGGCCTAAAAAATTGCTGCGCTTGATATCGAGTCCTGTTTGTTCTTCTTCACTCCGGTAGGTTGTGTTGGCCGGCGCGGAAATTTTTGGAACTGTCCTGTTCCTTTGATTTCGATAGATTCGCCCTTCCCAGGTCTGATTTTTTAACCATGTAATTTTTTTCTAATTTTTGGGGTTTGGCAGTATAATATATCCTGTGTTCCGAGGAGGAACTATCAGGGTCACGTCTCTCTTCGGCATTACCTCTCAACTGCAGATTGAGTTTAAGGTGGTGAAACCGACAGGAATCTCGTTTGCAAGCTACATTTTTAATAGTATTCCAGCATAGGAACGGATGGTAATATTGACAGTCTCTCCCGTTTTTGCATCCGCGTTGGTTTTTGCTTCCAAATGTAGCAAATTTTCGACAGATCTTAGGGTGAGAATAGTTACCGTTCATTTCATTCTCCCAATCGCACTTGCCCTGAAGATATCTCCAGCAAACGCGTTTCTTAACAGTTAAATGCTCCTTGTTCGAGGCATTTAAAGAGGAAAGGGGAGGGGCAACGCTACGGTCAGGGGTCGGGGTAGGCGGAGCATATCGGGCAGTAGTGAGGGATGCGGAGGAGGAAGTAGAGGGAGTGAGTGGAGTTGAGGGAGTAAGGGGAGTTGAGGAAGTGAGGGGAGTTGAGGGTAGCCGCGTCTTAGTGACGCGGCTCAACAGAGAGACCCATTCATGATAGGCCTTCTTCTCTCGGACGCTTGAACTGTTTGCACACTCTCCATGGCTTCTTTCGCCCACCCCTCGTTCATAACGCATTTTCTACACATGAATGATGTTCTCGTTTTTAAATACCTTGCAAGTTGGTATTCTGAAAGTAGTGAACATTCGAAGGGACAAAATTGTCTGTATGTGTTACATTTTAGTGCCAATTGTCCAAAATTACATTTGTTGCATTCCAGACATTCTCCGGCAGGTTTACTAACACAGACTTTGGCTGCCATGTTTCTCAATCAATTGATAACTCACTCACTTTTTACTGATTTTACTTAATTCCAGACTATTCACTGCAACACTTCAGTATAGTATGAGTCAACAGAGTTAAATCGTACTCAATTTTTTTCTCAGCCAATCGTTACCCGCACTCAATTTTTAATGACTGTACTCAGTTTTTTCAATCAATTGTTACTTGCACTCAATTTTTACTGACTTTACTTAATTCCAGACTATTCACTGGAACAGTTCAGTACAGAATGCAATAACACAGTTGAACCGGCAAAATTAAATGTAGCCGGCGGGACCGCGCACGACACCGAACGTCCGTTCGCCACGCAGCCACAAACAACACTCCAAGTTTGCTGAAGTTCATTAATGGTGACGGGTGGGAAGTTTGCAGGATGAAGTCGGGTAAGGTTTCAGTGACTGTATGAAAGAATGAGGTGTGTATTGTTTTTACGTGGTCTTGTATGGTGTGGATGTGTTCGTTGTCAAAGCCTTCGTTGTTGACGTCGTTCTGCGTGAAAATGTCTTGGGAGTGCTTGCGCAAAATGTTTATTTTTCTTCTTGAGGGTCCTCTTGTACATTGTATTGTTTTAGGTATGGGACAGCTTGCTTTGTGTTAGAACCTAGCATGCGTATTAAGGAAGACCATAATTTTTGGGGATCTGTTTGTGTTTTCGAAGTGTTGATGAGGTCTTGCCATCTTTGTGCTCTGAGGTGTCTGTAGGCTGTGTGTAGTTGCCTACTTTGATGTAGGCAACTTGATTTACTACTGTAGGCAACAGATGTAGTTGCCATTGTGATGGCAACTACGGCCATCATTGATGTAGGCAATGCTATTGATGGGCCGTGGGTGTGAATGTATGAAAGATTGACTTGATATTTTGCTTGTATGGGTAATGTTTTGTGAGTGGGCTTGATACCAAGAATGATGCGGAGTGTTATGGTGGGAATGGAAGTTTCAGCGGCATTCTATCTGTATTTTGTCTAATTTTTCAAGTGTTTGTCTATTACTGCTAGTGTGGGGCTGGATTGTCAGAGTTTGCGTGCTGTAATAGGTTTAAGGTTCAGGTTGCTCTATCGAAGGAAGGGTGTGATGTATATTGTTCCTATTGTGATGGGTCATTGTTGAGTGCTAAATGTGATGACGATCATGTCCGTGTGGAAGTTTTTGTGAAGTATTAAATGGGATGTTTCCATATTGCTTCGCCGATACTATTCTATTGCTATTATGGGATACTATTTTATTACTAATGCTCCGCAAGCGTGTAATGTATTGTCTATATTGCAGCTGTGAACGTTGCAGTTTAATATCTTGAGCGGAGTATTGTTGTCAGTAAGAAAGTGATCGCTGATTAGTATTATGTCGGAATAAGTATTGTTTTATATGTTTACTAATGTAAATATTTTGTCATGCCTGTGTCTGACGTTGGGTTGTAGTATTTATAGTTTGGTTTATGGAATTATTTTGGGAGATGGTGTTTAGATATTGATTGCATCGTATATTTATTAGTTATGGTTGAGTACCTGTCAATTTTTAGGATGATCTCTGAGGAATGATGTTAATTGTAGGTCTGTTGAATTTTAGTATGTTGCGTCGCAAATAGTCCAGGTCCTTCGCCGAGAGCTTCAGTCGAAGGTTCTTTGTCCTCAGTTCGTCAAGGTACCAGGTGCTGCGAGGGAACCAGGTGTTCAGGGATTGGTTTCAGGTCATTGCCACTCCTGAATGGTCTAACGGATATTATTTCGACGGCACTGAGAGAGAAAAATCCTCGTACCGATCGTTACTTATTTTTTGTTTTCTCTGGTTTCGTTCTTCCTAATGGATTTTGGTTATCGAGCGTAGGGTGTCGTTCTTGGAGGTTTCCTAGTCCGCATGTGGTCCTGTTAGGTTTGGCGAGGACGGCCTCATGACCTCGTCGTTTATAAATTCAGTTATGCGGTCTAAGTTGTTTACTGTCCAAGTAAGATTTGTTCACATCGTGTTTTTGGAAAAATTTAAATAAGTTGGCTGAGTCACGATCGAGGTAAGTAGCATCGATGCCGTAGTTTGCTTTCACTGATTTCGAGAAAGTTAATTCGAATCATTCCTGTCGTGCAAGGTGAGCAATTGTAGCTCCTAGTATTATTGCAGTCAATTTGAATTGAATTGTATTGGTCAGAGTGAGAAAGTGTTGGGGATGTTGGTCTGTTGAATTTCATGCTTCACTATTTGAGCGTATGTTTATTGTGCTTTTTCCGTCTTTTGTCTAATGTTTTTTTTTCAGATGGTTTGCTTCCTGTATGGGCAGTTGGCGTCAAGTGTTCGGTGATCTTGGTGGCAATTGAGGCATTTTTATGAGTAATGATGATCTGATCGAGTGCATGTGTGTGCTCGTCGGATGCGCATTATGGGTAGAATGGTGTGGTGTCGGTTCGTCAGTGAGTCGTATTAAATAATATTGAAATCTACAAAACAATCAAGAAAACAACACATATACAAAAGTATTATAGTAGACCAATATGAACTACGAATACGCTTGAGAGTTTATACATTAATAAATTCGTATTTCCAAAAAAAATCTTTGCAAACAACTCACAATGCGTAATGTTTAAGAAGGACACACAGCACATGCACATGACAAGGAATCAATCTAACACGGGATGAAATTTTGCAAAATTCTATGCCATGAACCTGACTACAATCGTTCGCTGATTTCTGAGACTATTTTTATTCGTCATATATTACTCACACTCGAAAACTATAGTTATGCAGACTCTAAAACTTTATAGTTGAAACAAATGTGCGAGGGACTGTGGGAGAGCTTAACTCCCACCTTCATCAGAACTCGTGAAATAGTAGCCGTGTTGCTACCACCCTGCAATCTTATCTTTTACCATTGAAAGAAAAGATCTCTATCAATCGAAACAGCTCTGGTCGGCATTCAAAGATTTCTGATCGCCATATTAGAGGACAGCGAGCCAGCTAGATTTGTGCAGAATCAAATAAGCATTTATTCAATCCAGTTTTTACTAAATCCGGTAATCTGCTATCTTTACGATACTTAACTGTTGCAAATTGGTATGAAAACTGGCGTTGGAACATATGGAACGGTTACTTTCGTCTCAACATCATCGAGAATTTGTTGTGTGACTCGATCACCAGGTACTCTCCACCAGCACATGTAGCGACTTGAAGGAAGTCCTCCACGGTATGAGGCATCATGAAGTTAAGCTAATCTGCATAACCTTGTCTAGGAAATATTTCTTAGCTTAATAGTGATGTTTCGTTGAAATATTAACGAGTGCTGACGTGAGAAGACAGGTTCGTCTTGCTTCACTGATGATTTGAAACAATTCTTCGTTCTGTTCTAAGAACATCGTATAGTGGAAGTGGCAAAGCCACAGAAAAAATTGTAACCGTCTGTTTCAAATAGTTATTGCAACTGCAGGTATACCAGAGCAGGTATACCTCTGAATTAATCGATCTAAATAAGACTCTGTAAGGCATTATTATTTAAGAGTTAATTCTTCAGTTTCCAGTCGGTAAGTAAATAAATGTACTTATGCCAGGGATCTATTAAACTCCACGCCCAAAAAGCTCGCTCAATCTTGTTAGACGGGGACAATGGACAATGCGTGTGATGATTTTCGATTTTTTACTGAGGGTGCAACTCAATTAGCACGAGAATCGAGTTCACTTTTGCAGTACAAGGGCCGTACTGATGAAACTTGCCAAATTACCCTTAGCGTTATAAGTACACGTAGCGGTCGAGTTTTAGGGTGTTTGGTGGGTTAAACTTGAAAAGTCGTCAGTGATAGGCTCACAGATTTAAGAATATTTAACTTAACACATTGTATGGTCCAAGACCTATTAGCTAGATCACAACTCACCAGATGTTTGATTTTTGGCGTACGTCTGAATTTCGGTGTTGGTCTGCAACTCATAGGACGCCAGCTGCAAGCCGAGGGCCTCGCACCGAGTCTTGGCCTCGCAGAACGCGAAACCTTGGGTGGGGTCAGGACGTTGCACAAACGCGACGCAATGTCCGGCTATTATTTTATTGCAGCAAGTCAGCTTTTGCGGCATCAGTCCAGGGTTGTACGGGGTTTTGTCATCATCTGAAAATAAGGCAAAGTAATCCATCATCAATCGCGGGTCATCACCTTCCTAGATTAGTCCGCGATAAGTGAAGTCCGAGATGGAGAATTTATCATACTGGCGATACGTATACGAGTATTTATATTGTAATCGCATAGTAAATTATTATTGTTTCACGAGTTTATATAATAATTCAATTATTACTTTTTCTATATTTTTCGCACAATTTTCGATACATTTTTCTCTAAATACCAACCGATCGACTTCCTCGGAAATCCGCTAAATAACAAAAATACTTGAATGATTATTCCTATAGATATCACTGGTGAACAGAGAAAAAGGTACTGAAATAATTTTTTGTAGGTTGGAAAGCATTTTTGCATCTAGATACAATACTGGCTTGGTTATTTCCTAATTTGCCTAGTTTTTTATATACATACTCGCATTTTTAAGCAAAAAATAATTACATATGCATATATGTTTATTATTTCAAACGAAACAGCTAAATGTTTGCGGTGCTTGAGGAGTGAGTTTTTATGGAAGAGAGTTTTGTGAAAATTGTGAGTTTTTATGGAAGACAAACGTGATTGCCAACATTCTGATGGATACTGTTTTGTCTGTCAGGTAGTCTGAAATTGTTTCTGTAAAGGTTGGGCGTAGGTTTTGTTGTTTAATTTTGAATTGAAGTCCGGGAGCCAAACCTTATCGGAGACTTTGTCACAGCGCGATCGAGGTATTATTTATAATATATGCGTAGTGTGTCGAGCAAGGTGTATAACGAGCGCTTGGTGGAATGTGCATGGCTAATGTGCATGGCCTTTTGGTGTTCCCTGAAATCAAACTGTCTAGTGATGTGAATGGAGAGGTGCTCATATACTCTTTTGTTCACTATTTTATCCAAGAGCTTCCCGTGGATGTCTACTTCCCGTGGATGTCTAATAGTGAAATCAGGTTATAATTTTGCACTTCGTGATGAGATGTGGCGGGTTTTGAAAGGAAGATCATTATGACATGTTATTGTGAGTCGAGGAAATAACCAACGGTTATCGAAGTGATTGAATATGTACAGCAGGTAATGGATCATTATTTAGAATAGGTGTTTGAGTCGGAGGGTTTTGTTGCATGTGGAACCCTGGTCTTTCTGTAGAAATATTTTCAGTGGATGCCGCAGTTCTCCATTGGTTATCGGTGGGAAGGCTACTAGGTGGAGTCGAGTAAGGTCGCCATGATTGTATGGTGAAAGAGGTGTATGTTGTATTTCCGGGATCTTTTACGGTGCGGATGTGATCGATGTCAAAGTCATCGTTGTCTGCATGTGCCGCTGTGTCGTTCTGAGCGTATATGTCCTGCCAGCGTTGGTGGAAGATATTTTTGTTGTTCTGTTGTGTCGTATTGGAAATTTTTGTGTTTGAGGTATGGGACATTATATATGTTTGGTGTCGTATCCTAGCATGCGCCTTGGGGAAGACCAGAATTTTTTGTGATCTGTTTTGTGGCCTGTGAAATGCAAATGAGGTCCGGCCATGTCTGTGTATGAAGGAGTCTGAATGCTATGTGTAGTCGTTGGCATGGGGTCATGAGTTATCTGGTAAGCGCCAGTGCTGGATGCATTAAAGTGTAGCTTGATATTATATATGCTGTTTAAGTAAAGTTTCGTGTTTGGATATGATGCTTGAAATGATGCGGGGGATATGGGGATATGTGGGGGATAGAGGTCCAGTTGTTCCAGCATGTGTCTATTTATTTTAATGAAGGGTCTGGTTATGGGGGCTATTATTGGACTGTGGTCTGAATGTTGTGGAATAGATCCTGATTATATATGAGTGTTGTTGAATGCCTCCTGTTGCTTATGACTCTGTCTAGTGATGACGAGCTGCTGTGGGTGATGAGAGTTGGAAAGTAGGGTCGATGTGGGTACATTGCGCTGGTCATCAGTGTGTGTAATTGTCTTCCTATAAGGTTGGAGGAGCTGTTTCCTAGTATTGTGTGTTTTTGCGTTTATGTCTGCTAGTAGGTAAACGAGCTAGGGGCTTGCCAAATCTGTGTATGTGTTAATCTGTGAAAGTCTGTATACTTGATTTAATCTGTACGCGGTGGGGTGTGTGTTGCGTTGCTCCTATAGTGATGGGAGTGTCAATTGTAATTGCGAGCATTTAGATGTGAAAATTTTTGTTAACGTTTGTAAGGTATATCATATATGAGTCTCCTAATGGCTATGTCAGCACGGAGTGTAGTGCATTTTCATTATTGCAGCTACTCGGATGAACATTGTAGTTGAATATTTTAAGTGTGGTATTGTCATCCGCGATAGAGAGTTCATTAATGAGTACTGACTGGCCCAATGTGGTTGTAGATGTTCGCAAGAGTGGATCTGATGTTGGTCCAGTATCGGATGTTGTGTTGTAGTATCTTTCACGCGAGGACTGAGAGATAAAGTTTATTAATGGAGGGTGTATCTTCAGTCTGTTACGTTTCAGATAGTAGCGTACTAATGAAGAGTCAGCGCCCTGCATCAAAAGCTTCAGTCCGTATTCCTTCTTTCTTTGTTCTTATGTTGCTTATGACTCTGTCAGTTCGTCATTGTCGAACCAAACGCTATATGACTCCGGAGGGATTTCAATATGGTATTATGAGCTGCAAAATAGTTTGATGGGGATTGGTTCGCCGATTCAGGGTCCTGAGATAAATTATTATTTTTAATGTTCTTCCATGATCTTAATTTTCCTAGGGTGACGGTTTTCAATGTGAGTAATTGATGTCGGGGATGGAAGGTCGTTCCTACGGTGTCGTCGGTCGTTGGTTCTGGAGATATATGTGGTGATGATCGTCTGAGGTCGTCATTTTCAATGAATTTGGTCCTAGAGTTAAAGCCGTTGTCTGGGGCTTGGCCTCACTTTGGTTAATATATTTAAGCGGTGTCTTTATCAGGAAAAGCCGCGTTGATGTCGTAGTTAACTTTCAGTGATTTCAATACGATGCTACCATACCCCTCCTGGCGGGAGAGGCTGGTAATGAGGGCTTCGAGTCTGATACGTAGCTATCAATTTCAGTTGCGACCTGTCAGTCAGCGTCAGGTTATGTTGAGAAATATTCGTTTGTTGGATCGCATGTTTTTCTGTTTCGTATTTTTAATTTTAGTTGTTTTGTTTCGATTTTTGTCTATGTGATTTCAGTTGGTTTCATTATTTTTGTCTGCTATAGGTACAGGTTGCGGCTCTAGTGCGATAGTCGTGGCATTTTTTGTGGTGTTAGTAGCTACAGTGGGTGTAATTGCGGTCTTAGGCGGCGCATTCGGAACAAGAGGGAGTGGGGTATTTGGATTGGTATAAAGGTGGTCTTCTATTTTACAACATTTTAAATGGATAGGTAGGTGTGTATACTGTTCCTGTTCGAATTATAAGGGTGTTATTTTGATGTTTTATATTCACAATACGTTTGTAGGTATGTGGGGGGCTATTGTCGCGTCTGTGGTTACGATTTTAATGATTTGAGTGTAGCGCTTGTTTTTCATTATATCCTGTATGTATAGCCAGTTTTATTGTGTAGTTATTTCTTATTTGATTTCGTCGGTGGTGCGGCGTCATATGTCTCTACTCTGTCTATCTGTCGTACAAAAATGCTCCGCGCCGCTTCATGGTCGGTGGTATGCGATGAAAATCATGTTGATTTTATGAATGAAATCATGTAGATTTTCTTTTAATGATTATGATCTGCAGCTTTTTTGAGGGGTGAGCTTGTCAATCGCAGTCGCGTCATCAGTTGTGGCGTAAAATCAGGTGGCAGCGTCTGTGAGTCAAATTAGTGGGGCACCAATTTCGTAAAAAGTCGTATGGAAAATTCTTAGTAGATTAGTCAGTGTCCTTTCTTGGGTTGGACAAGCTCGTCGGGTTCTGAGGGCAATTAGGAGGGTGCAAAATGGTGGATAGAAAGAGTGGGGAGAGGAAGAGAAATTACAGGTAAATGGTTTTTGAATGGAAAAAATTAAACAGTGGCACGGATAAGAATATGTCACACTTTATTAGTGACACGCACTTACTTCGCAGAGCTGTCTGATCCGAAAGGCGTAAAGAGACCACCATTTAGCAGTACCACATAAGTAGCCGCTAGCTGGGTGGCCCCTGCTTGACCTAAATGAAATTATATCCGAACACACATTAAATCTAAAATATTGTTTTCTCTCTGCGGTCAGCTCACTGACCATTGAAGACGTGACCTGTGTTGTTGCTGTTGCTGAGGAGGCACCCGTCAGAGGAGGACTCGGTGAAGAGAAGGAAGGTGTTTCCGATCCATTCTCCGTTTTGGGGAGCTGTAAACATAAAAAAAATTCAATCCGTTGTTTTCGAATGGGTGCGTGGGGATGAAATTAGGGGCAATGTATTTAGTAGCATTTTTTTGATGATACGGATTTAAAAAATCGTCTCGAGCAATAAGCGAGTCGGATGAACACTTTTAGATTGGTTTAAATACCTGTTCAGAATTATTTTGCTAGTTACTTAGTTTTAAATAAGTTCAATTTGAACATAGCTGCAGGTTCGGCGGCCGGTGGCTGGCTTCCAATATTTTTCTATTAATAAACGATAAAATTTTATTTAGTTGGCGCGCCAGACGTCAAATTAAGGATCGTGAAGCAAAAACACTTAGCAGCTCAGGTGTTTTTATCAGCAAACATGGGGTAACATGGGGCAGCGGCCCCCCCCCCACTTTTTTAAACCAAATTTTCTTTAAAGTTTTAACTGATACGAGGTAGTTCTTTGTTTTGGTTTAAAGTTACAACTAATGAGGAATGTATGATGTGAATTACACGCCTATTACACCTGAATTACACGAAATACACGCTTTTACAGTTCAAAATAAGAAAAATGTTATAAAAATATTACATTCATTCATTTATTAACAACTTAAAAAAAATCATATCCTTAACTTGAAAAAAATATATTAGTGGTTTTGAAAATTTGTCACTGACGTGAAAACAATATTTGCTCGACATAAAAATATATAACCTTGGCTTGAAAAATATACCCTTGCCTTAAAAAATTCATCCATGACATGAAAAAATGTATACTTGACTAGAAAAAAAATATTTACTTGAGCAGAAAGACTTCGTTCCAGTTTCGTCCATAATTCAGATATTATGTGCAGGGAATTCGTACTTAATCGTGATTTCAGCCAACACCATAAAAACTCAGCAACTTTTGGTTCATTGGTATTAGCTGAAATCAAGTTTTGGCAAGGCATGAGTGAATAACTCGTTAGGGGGACATATATATAAATACGCATAACTAGAAACCAGAACCTGCTGCCTTGAGGTGGTAAATCGAAAAAAAATCTTACAATATGAAATGTAATTTGTAATTCAAAAAGCTAGTCATGGTTTTTAAGAGCTCATTGAGACAAATCTAATGATGTATAACACAAGACTTCACCAAGGGGTATTGAGCAAACCATGGGCGCTTTGCTTCGTCACACAGGCGTGCCCGTTGCCCCACTAGGTATCATTTCAATTTATATCGTGTCAACATTTTATTATTAAAGCTAATAATGAATAATGGCTAAACTTGAACTCAAAATTATTCCTATAAAAAATAATTTCAAAATATAATTCACAGTAATCGAAACAGTTTTATTTAGCAGAAAAAAAAAACTTTTATCTGGGCTAAAACAGTTATTCGCAAATGACTTATCAACGCAAATACTTAGCAAAACGTAAATCTGTATACTTTAGCGCAGTGAAACTGTCGACCGGCGGTAGAGAACACGGGTTCTGAGGGCAAGGAGGGTGCAAAATGGTGGATAGGAAGAGTGGGGGATAGGGAGAGAAATTACAGGTAAATGGTTTTCGAATGGAAAAAAATCACACAGTGGCACGGATAAGAATATGTCACACTTTCCTAGTGACACGCACTTATCTGGGCTAAAACATATCCCTGGTACTTGATACTTGGCATAAAAAAACATATCCTTAATACTTGGCGGGAAACCCGCTATGGGCCCGTGACCCCCAATGGTCCCTCTGCCCCATGTTATCCTAAAAGTAAGTGGTTGGCCTATCATAGGTGACAGCTGATCATTCAACCACTATTACCAGTATCTACTTACTTCCTGCCGCACCTGATATCAGTTTCTAGTCAGCACCCTCCGCACATTAATATAATAAGTAAAAGGAATAGAGTCACATGTTATAAGTACTTATATTGTCAGTCTGCTTATATCGCAAGTTCACAAGGAATTTAAAAGCAAAGAAAACACCAAGCAAATTCACCATATACATATTGAAATATCGATATGGTGAATTTGCTTGGTGTTTTCTTTGCTTTTAAATTCCTTGTCACATGTTATATTTTGAAGTCATTGCTGGATCGTGTGATTGTGTTAGGTTTCCTTGATAACATGGATGACATCGTCATATAGCGGTTTCAGCGTTTAGTACGCCGTAGGCCTGTCGCCGATTCCTAACATCGCAGAACATTCACAGCATTTTACGGTCTCAAACTTGCAACTCACTGCTACAATTCTGCTGTGCTCAACCGCCCGGCCTCCTTGCCTATTCTGACCAGAAACTGGCGCACAGAGCTGGGATCGAACCCGTGCCTCCCTGCGCCAATCTTGGTACTCTGAGCTTTTAACCACTGGGCCACGCGTGGTTAAACAATCTGCTACACAATCTGCTCCATCCTATTGTTGTGGCTTTACTATTATTTTCACTTGAGATTCATATTCGCTTCTATTTGTCATAATATTGGTTCAGCTTTGTATTCCCTCTGACTTTACAATGTCTCAGCTATGTATTTAGTATGACATTGTTATTGAATTCTCATGTAGTAAAGAAGGTTATAGACTTCTTCTATATTTAACGCAGTCCAAAAGATGAAGAAGTCTAAAACCCTCTTTGAAGCAAAATTTATAGATCACGCCAGAGTCTTAATTGAAGACTCTTTCTTTGAAGGGACCGTAGCTGTGTATAATTCGGGATTTGACGTTATTGTCAAGGGTGTCACATAGTCTGATGAATTCATCACGGATCTTGAGATGAAGTTGCTCGATTTTAGTACTTCGAGACCTGGTTTGGATGCGAGCTTTTCTCAGGTGGCAGTAAAAACGGCTGCTCAATGTAGTTGAAGTCATACCAATTACTCCAATGTAGTCCAAAAGACGAAGAAGCCTACAACGTTCTTGGAAGCAAAATTTATAGCTCACACCAGATTATTGAAGAACTTCTTTTTCGAAGGGGCCGTTGCTGCCTATGGTTCGGGGTTTGACGTTGTTGTCATGGGTGTCACGGAGACAGTTGAATTCATCACAGGTCTTGAGAGGAAGTTGCTCGATTTTGATACCATGAGACCTGATCTGGTTGAGACCTATAAATATATATATCTATAGAGCTTAGTTCAAATGCCACTTGCAGTTCATATCCCCTCGACATTGTAAGTAGATATATTTGTCTGCTCATGTTTACCCTTATCCTTGTATGTTTTCATATGATAATTTATCTTTTAGTATCTTCAATTGGAATTTTAGTTTGCTAATTGTTTGTACCTGGGTTTTAGGATTTTAAACTGACGATTTAGCTGGACTTCAAAACGTTTGCTCTCATAAGAAATGGTGAATTTTTGGCTGTTATAATTGCTTTTAAATTATTGCTAAATAAGGAGTCATGTCGTAGACAACTTACGAGGCGTCATGACGTAGACAACTTACGATGCGTCATGACGTAGACAACTTACGAGGCGTCATGACGTAGACAACTTACGACGCGGCATGACGTAGACAACTTACGAGGCGGCATGACGTAGACAACCTCAGCAGGCGCGTCACCGCAGTCCTGCTCGTCCTTGACGTCGTACTGAACGCTGTCACTGGCGTAGCAAGATCCGTTGATCTTGAACATGGTAGCATCTGAGGAGTAAGGATTACGACAGTCCATCTTGCATGAATCAAACATACATTAAGAAACTATTATTATTTACCTTTATTGCAATCCAAGAGACATGAACTAAAATAACATCCAGTTCATCGAAATAGAACAAACTTTCGTGGAAAAACTTACACGAATCGATATTATATGAATTGAACTTATATGAATCAAAGTCACATAACTCACACATACACGAATCATACATAAGTAAATGAAAGTTGAACGAATAAAACATATATGAACAGACATCCCCAAGATAACATACATAAATCCAACATATATGAATCCAACATAAAAGAAAATAACACTCATAAATCGAACGTACATGAATCAAACCTGGAAGGTTAAAAATGTCACAATAAACTATTTGAAATGTATTTTCATGAATCGATTTAATCAAATTAAGCATGCTGAATAAAATTATTTGATATAACGTACATTTAATAATCCAAATTTCATCTAATCCACATGAATTAAACACTCAAAATCTTACATAATTGAGTCAAACGACGTGCATCAAACTTACCTGAACCAAACTTCAATGTACTAATTTTGAAAGAATCAAATATGTATTCTTGAATCGAATCATGTGAATCAAACATACAGTACATGCGTCTAGCGCATATGATAATAATTTATAGAGCAACCGGAGGTAAATACCACTTTAGAGGCACTCATTTTACAACATGAATCGAATATGTACTAAAGTAATATTGTCCGATGTATTGTATTTAGCTCTACATGAAGATCAGGTTATGTGACTAAGGTCGTGAAGGATAAGTAAGACACATGTGTCTGATAACATATCTTATATACGGAGTGGTTATAGAGGCGTACGATGTAGAGGTATAAGCTACGACGGCGACCGTAAGGTCGGAGAACTCAACTGAAGCGTTGCATCGCGAAGCGCTTTTCAACTACTGCGTGGGGCTTTACTCAAAGTTGCTGGCCCTGATGTAGCCTTCGCTTCCGCCCACTACTAAGGTCTTGATCGCGTGATATATCACGTGTCTTCCAGATGCTGACTCATGTCATCAATCTCTATCAGGTCAAGTGAATATTACGTCTCAATTACATATAATTTTAATGATTATAATGAGACGCCAGATTTACACCGGACAATATTCACGAATGAAATTAGCATTCATAAAAATTAATTTCAGTATATTAATACAAATAATGATAAACATGAATTATTATAATTTCATAATTAATTATCATTATTTCAGCAATAATAAGGATTTATTGCAATTCACTACGATCAAATAAGCCTAAACTTACGTAGCAAATTACATGAATCTAAATCATACGAATAAACCATACGTAAATTCAACATACACCAACTAAAGATACTCAGAGCACGATTAAACAAAAAACACTCATTGAATAAAAATTTGCATACATACAGCATACGTGAATCCAACTTAAATGAATACAACATACATGAATAAAACATGCTTCAGTCACACGTGCAATAAACTTATTTGGATACAAATCTGACTATTATTATTTTTACTATTATTATTATTATTCTATAGAGCGGTTATCGTGGCGTCTGGTTCATGCGAACTTCGAAAGCGCCTTACACATAAGTTTATTAGCGATCAAAATAAATAGACACGAGGAAATAGTTAATAGTATTATGCGAAATAGCCTACGAAACCCCTGCAACGGTAAAGCCGATGTTACGGAAGCCGGCAGACTGTTACAGGTTTTGGCGACGGCGACCTTAAACGCTCTGTCACCGGCGGTAGATAAATTATACGCATTTGATTCTACAGACGTGTAGATGGAACGACGAGGTCCGCTGTTGGTAACGAACTCAGTTGTCTTCTAGAGGGTATATGTTACACGCGCTGCAGACGTTCCGTGAGATATGAAGGCGCCTGACCATGAAGGCATCTGAACGTCAGAACAGAGACAATGAACTGCGTGCGCTATACTGCATGCGCAACCAGTCAAGATCGCGTAATATCGGCAACCTGTGGTCGAATTTTTGCTTTTTGCACACGAGTCACGCAGCAGCGTTCATTACAGATTGCAGTTTATTTAGTGCCGTGGTCGGAAGTCCATGAAGGGTTGCATTACCATAGCCCAATCTGGTCAAAACGAGCGTCACCAGGATTGTGCTCGAGAGATGGCGTCAGGCAATTCATATTTGTCGCAGAGCACCAAAACAAGCGGTGGTGACTTTGGCAATGTGATTGTTTATCGAAAGTTGCTAGTCCAACAGAATGTCCATGTTACAAACCGAAGACGCAGGCATGCAGAGGGTTGGCCAGAAGCTGATGCATGCGCCAAGCAGTCGCAAACCAAATAAAGTCCGTTTTTAATGCATTTAGCTGGAGCCGGTTGGAACGCATCCAGTCTGAGTCTGCGTCCATGCAGACAGACATCCGGTCCTTAACGCTACAGCGTCACTCGGCACACAGTAACCATAAATTTGGGTGTCGTAGGCGAGTACCAAGCGGATGAAAACCAGGTGAATCATATATGTCCAACACATCGACAGGATTTAACAGGAAGAGGATCATGCCGCGAACTGACCCTTGTGGTACGTAGCAAGAGACAACGGCGTTGAAGAAATGTTCCCACGTCGGAATCTATTGCTGAGAACTGATGAAGCGAATTTATTTGGTATTAAAATCACTTGTTTACTTAAATCGCAAGCTAACCAGAAATTTAAAATCAAAGACAATACCACCAAATTTCAACATATATTCATGAGAGAAAACATACCGGAGTCCAGCTCCAGCATCAGTTCATATCGCAATGTTCAGTTCAGAAGAAGTCCGATCCTAGAAACTCAAATACCATCAATTAGTGAAGAAAAATCCACTGTCAGGTATTAAAACGGAAACAAGCAAATGAGACATGGAATGAACGGTAGTAAGCGGACCTATCTATTTACTATTTCAAGAGGAAAGGAGCTAAAAGAGGCAGTTAGACTAAGCTGCTATTTTAATATATACAGGGATTCTAAAATTCCGATAACACCGGATGTGTAAGCTAGAACTTTAAAATCACCATCAAATACAGAGGTGTTGCATTGCTCGGCATGAACACGTACAGCAGAATGAGGCGGATGTGCAAGTAGGTTCCCCGTTCTATAACTCCTGCCATTATGTTCAGCCAGCCTAGTATAGAAATTGCTTGACGTCATACCGACGTACGCTGATGCGCACTGTGCACAACTATATCTGTCTGCAAACTAGTGACGATCGCATAAGCAGAGGGAGGGTATCCTTATACCTGATAAACGAGCCGATTCGAAAATTGTTAACTAACAACACATTAAAATTTGCTTCCGTAAGGTAGTTAGCGAATAAAACTTTTCATTCCTTTGTCATAGCCTCAGATGCGGGGCCAAAGTATGGAAGTGAACAGTGAACACCGTTCCTATTGTCACACTTGGGAACAACTTCAGTATATTGCTTGGACATGAACTTTTTGATTTGGGTAAACACCAGGTGCGATAGAAAACCATTTTTAAAAAAATTCTGCGGATATGATAATATAATGATGAAAGATAATTTATTTGCATCTTGTACACTGAATTAGGATTATTTCGTTGAAACGCACATTCAATAAACGAAATTTCATTCAACCTGGATGAATCAAACTCTGATACATCGAACAAATTTCAATTATACATCGTGCATAAAACTCAAATGTCTCAAGCGCGTTCAAAACAAGCTGAATGGACCAATCTTAGATGAATCAAGCAGTCTAAGGCATATGATAATCGTTGACAAATCAGACTTGAATACAACTTTGAGGGCACTAACTTTACAACTTATTTGAATCTTATATGCAACTAAAGTAATATCAATGAATGACACTAACATTCATCGAAACTATTTTAAAAAAATCGTCAATAAACAAGTTTGAATGCAATTATCTACAATCAAATGCGGAATAGGCCTAATCTTATTCGCAGTAACTGTGCCTGGGGTCAATTCAACTCACTTCTCGCAAACGCGGCGTCCGCGCAGGCGATGATGTCCGTCGATGCGCCGCTGCTGTTCAGCTTCACCCAATCAACAGCAATCACATTCTTGGGGGCAAATCTGACGTATTCTTTGCCGCCTCCGAGGTCAATGGAGAACAGGTCTCCCGTGACGGTGTTGGCGAGAGCGGCGCACGTCGCGAACAAGCTGCTCTTGACGCCACCAGCGAGCACAAACTGTGCAGTAGGTTCAAGCTCAGGGACAGTAAACAAGTCATGATCAATCAGCAATCAGGGGAGAACAGAACAAAAAAGGTGCAACTGTTGTACAAACACAGTGTAATGGAGTCGTGCGCTTTCAAATCTAAACAATGGAAAAAATTTCAATTCCGTAATATTGTCATTTATGAAGAACGAAACAGTTTTTGCCACTATATCGATTTAAGTGATGGACACACCGTATACAATTGTGCCAGACGATTAATCGTGTAAATGACCACCATATAAGAACGTATGATGTAGTGCACTGCATCAATGATTATCATTATCATCGTTCAAGCTTTTGTTGAGAAGTATTCATTTCTTGGCTGACTACACGGTTTAGTGCTCTCAGGTTTAATGTTTGTGGTGTGGTGTTCTTGCTCTTAGGAAATAATTCGAAAGAATGAAATAGGTGGCTCAGAGTGGCCAGAAAGATGAAGGATAAACTGGGAAGACAGTGGGGTAAGAAAATAGGCGCATAGCGCATAGTTAGGTTGGTTGTATGTGTATGAGGTTGGGTTTAGGTCGCGGAGGGGAGGAGGGAGCCGGTCAGGACTTTGGAAGGCTTGCGTGTATGAGTGAAGTATGTATGGGAGACAGATGATTTTATCTACATTCTACAATATTTAGATATGGAAAAAGGGTTTGAAAAAATATCTTAACCCTTAAATGCACCGCGTATCAAAAATGATACAAACCAAATTTTCGCCTATAAATGCTAAGGTAATCAGGCTACTTGCCTGCGGCACATCTAATATCAAGTATGATACATACGCAATCGAACGAGAACGAAACGAGATACATCGGTGTTGTGTTGTGCGGCAAAAATGAACGCCAGTGAGCGACAAGGCGTGGTCGGTGGAAGTGTGCGGAAGCCCCATATTTCTTGGTTCATTCTGGCTTCTACGTTTCTCTCAGAGGTAAGAAAAAATAAACCCTATTTTTATATTTTGTCATGATTATTGGGAAGCCTTCAATAAGTCTTTTCAAGTATTTGTTTTCGTTCAATAAGAGAAAATGTCGTTGTATCATTTCTGATACAAGGCGCATATGGGCAACTTTTCTGCATCGTATTTATGTGTATAGTTAATGATACAACACGGTAGTTTTCTGCCATTTTATGTTTTTTCATGCATTCAAAAGGTATGTTTAGTTATTATATATCTAGAAAATGTATTAAAATGAATTCCTCATCAGATTAGCAGCTATGCATCTTCCAAATGCGTAATATATGTAATAAATGTTGTTTCACCAGGTGATGCCGCATTATTTGTCTGAGAAGGAATTACTGGAGGTTCTCTTCTTCGATGTAAGTGACGATGACGAAACTTCTAGCGATGCTGACAACATCAATAACCCATTAGCTGCTTATATCAGTGATGTGGACTCTCTTGAATCATATTCCGGAGGTGAGAAAGTTATTTCTTTTGCGTTCGGAAATAAGCCAAAAATAAGGGTAAGTCTGCAGGTATGACGTCAGTTACTTACTTACGCAATCCGTATATATTCATTTGATACAACCAAGTCATAGATTTTTATTTTATTTTACAGTGACGGCAATATAGTATATTTATATATTTGTGCATTATCAAGTAGCAAAGTTAATCCTCATTGAATAATACCTGTTTACAAATAGATGATGAATTTTCTCCTACAGTTATATTGTATTTTCAGATGGTGATGACTCTGCTAACATATATTCTGCAATCACAATTTTAGAAGACGAAAGCCCATCTAAAATTCATAGTAACTGCACAATAACTGTGGAAGCCAGCTACAGCAGAAATCAAAAAAGGAAAGGTCGAAAAAAGAAGATCCAGAGGCAAGAGGCACAACTCAACACCACAACACAACACCGCAACACAACGCAGCACTACACAGAACAATACAATACAACACTGAACAATACAATACAACACAGAACAACACAATGCAACACAACACAGAACAAAAAAAAAAAAACACACAAGGCTCAATGCGCCATGGGATCAAAAAGGTGCCATGTGATAAGAAGTGTGCTCTGCGATTATAAGGGCGTCATGTGATAATAAGAGCGTCATGCGATTAGAAGGGCGCCATGTGATAAGAAGGGCGTCACGTGATAAGAACGGTGCCATGTGATAATAGATAATACTGATATGAAGAAACTCCATCTGATAAGTTGTGCGCCATGTGATAAGAATGGTAATGTAGCTCATCTGCTCATCAGACTGGATGGTGTGGCACACTGGCCCAAGCATGCTGATGACCGACGAAGATGCAAAATGCCTGGTTGTTATTCACTCTCCTATGTTATGTGCCAAAAGTGCGGTATTCCCCTTTGTTTTAGAAAAAATAGCGAATGTTTCACCAAATTCAGTAGTAACTAATATTTACCGCTAACGCGCCTTGTATCATATATGATACAACCATCAATTTTATATAATAAAAGGAAAAAATTCAAACTTGATGCAATTTATGTGTATATTGAACCATTCCGAAATAGAATCACCATTGAAATATTTTTTTTATCCTCCACATCAAATGCGTGCATTTAAGGGTTAAATACTATCGATACACTTGGGTTTCGCATCTTCTAAATTTAATCAATGTTTGCTTAGTTTTCTGCAGTATTCTCACAGATTAACGAAATGATGGTTTAGGATATTTGCGATGCTGATGATTATGATTATCATGATATCGAGTAAGTCGGGAGAAATCCAGTCAGTAGATCGGGAAGTCATCTATCAGGTTAAAGCTTTTGTTATTGCGGTGCCACGAGGAAAATTTGGAAAAGAACAAATGAAGGCATAACGTTTCCAGGAAGATTAAGGTGAAATGGAAAGGTGAGTTATGCATATAGCTTCCTTTATTTTAGGTGTGTTGGGTTTGCGGTTAGGGAGCGGGAAGAACGCGTCCGGGCTTTGTAAGGCTCATTCAGGGAGGGGGAGTGATGGCCGAGTGGTTATTCAGTATTCACATTCTTCACATTTTTTGGTAATGTTAACGATAAATCAAAATGATATGCACTCTCTCTATGAACATGTCTTCCAGTTTTATTGTTTTTTGGCGTTTTTTTTTATTTTTCGAAGAAGACGATACGATGGTTAGGTGATGCGATGACAAGATTGAATGAGGAGGTGAGTCACTCGAGACTCCGGATGTAGACATGGAGAGTCAATTTACGGGCTTATGCTCAGTCAGCAGTTGTGTCTTTACTGTGAATCATTTTCGATGAGGTTTGTCAGTCGTGACCGGGACTACAGCGCCTAAGCGCGTTCATTCAATGACTGACGACCAAATGCAGATTGCCCGTTGTGTATGTTAAGGAGTGTAAGGTTAGTGGTTACATGTAGCATTGTAAATACATTGGTTGAAATGGGATATTCAATTCAAGTATTTTGAATCTCTTGAAAAACGGGTGCTGTTGGTGGCGCCGACGTCACGCTCGCACGGGGGGGGGGGGAGTTTCCGGTGGTGGCCGAGAGCGGGACACTGAAAGAGGAGGGAGATAGACGAAGGCAGGGATGGTGGCCAGGAATGCTGCCTCCTTCACGAGACTGTCCCACAGTGAAGAGACGCTGAGGGTCGTGGGAAGGAGGGGCAGATGAATAGATGCTGAACAGACTGGAAGGGGTCCTCGCACTCATGACAGGAGGCACTGGGGAGGCGTCTGACCCTATAAGTGTAAGGCGCCAGGGAACTGAACTGCAGTAGCCCGAACGGAGCTGGGACAACGCAGATCGATACGGGCAAGGGAGCGAGGCCTCTTCCGGCGCGATTATTGGGGGTGTGGTAGCGAGAACAGGCGGTAGGCGATCTCCCTGCGAAGGGAACGCTTATAGCCTCTCCATAGGCGCCGGCAGGTATGATTTCGTTCGTCAAGAAGGGCAGAAAAAGGTGGCTAAACCTCGCCGTAAGGAAAGCTTTCATGCGACGGGCCCCGAGGGGAGCAGAGACAGTGTGGATCGAAGTTCAGGTAGGCTGGAGAGCGGTTGCGGAAAAACGGAACGCAAGCCAGGTCCAAGTGATCGGATTAGGGAAGGACGCCAGTTTCGCAGAGATAAGCAAGCGAGGCCATCTTGAGGCAGCCGATGGCCAATTTCAAAGCTGTGTTTTGGATAGTTAGAAGGCTTGCTATTGCGGTGCGTGAGGCGACAAAGTACCAGATGAGGGCAGCATAGTTGAGGATTTGGCGGCTGATTGTCCGATAGGTGGCGATAATGACCTCTTATGAGAAACATCAGTTAGTGCCAGGCAGGGCTCTTGAGATTCGAAGAGAGCCCAACGTTTTAGTGGTTATGGCTCTGACGTGAGGTGAGAACGTGTAATGGGTGTCACAAGTTATGCCTAGGATTTTACGGGTTTTATCTAAAGGGATGATACTGTTGCAGATTGTGGCAAAAGTATGTGTGCGAGATTGATGGGTGTCCTGGGTGACGGGCGTGACAGATGATTTGCTCGGTACACGGTCAGTTCCTTGGAGGCAAACCAGCCGGAGAGGCCCCGTAGAAGCCCAGCGAGGTCAGTTTCCGCAGCATCAAGCCTCGAGAAAAGCACGAAGATCGTGAGGTCATCTGCGTATGAGGCAATATTGGAGATTGGTATTGGAATGACTTAGATGAAGTGGTTGAATAGGGCGAGTGAGATTCAGATTACGTTCTGAGATAGAAGCATGATGCTTTCCTGCCTCTCAGGTAGCATTACAGCAATCGGACCAGGTTGTGGTGTAGATCCGAGGTCGCGATGACACTAAGGAGGAGAGGGCAGTCGACGCTGTCAAAAGCCAGCGATAGGTCGACCGCGGATACAACTGTGCGGGCTAGGGGCCACCGTTAGTTGAAGCCCGTCGTAACCTGGTGCGCTAGCGGGAGGTGTCTTGGTTTGAAACCGTGTTGCGAGGGGACCGTGGTAAGGGAAGCCGCGATGTGCAGAAGGAGTGATTCCAATAAATTGAATGCCGGGCAGAGGAGGGAGATGAGGCGGTAGGACAAACC